GAGCCAGGACAGATCTCCCTTTCACCACGGTGGGACCAGGCTGCACGTGCGTACGAAACACCAGCCCACAGAGCTGGTACCGCAGCAGGGCTAAGGGCAGAGGGTGCTGCTGCAAAAAGCAGCACATGGAACGCGCTACAAGCTTAAGTGGGTGAAACTGTGAAATGGTGCAATAAAGGAGCATTTCTCTTTGATGTACAGGAGATCAGCATCAGAAGCTGATATGAATTAACGCTAGAAGGAAAATTTCTATACTACTTTTTAGACTCAAGAGACCAACCAGGGTTGGCTGTCTACCAAAAAGTCTTTCCATGACGGCTAAACAAGATTTTATTAGTCCTTTGGTTAACACAGTCTCTTAGGAAAGAGGTTACTCACCGAACATTTTCTACTTTCACAGTTTCACTGCAGTCTGTTGCCATACCTCTCAGCTAGCAAGGAGAGCTAATATATGGGGGTAATAAATCACCCGGTGTTTTAAAAGTTAAACTTCCCAAAAGATGTCAGAGTGTAGCGACTACAGCATTAACAGCAGAAAGACACACAATTTTCACTTTGCCATGGCGCCTAGCACGGACAGGAAGAGGTAATTTGTGTCTTTCGGTGAATTCCAGATCGGAGAAGAGTCCTGCAAACTGAGGAGTGACAGCGAGACTACCCACGGGGGGAACGGCAAGCAGGAGTCAATGCACCAGAATTAGGGGTTGAGCAAGACATGGAAATACAGTCTGAGTTAAGAGCAATCACACATGTAAACACATGATACGCCCCAAATTCTCATACTGCGGCAAGTGCTGAGTAGGATGAGAATAGAGCTGCAAACAGGCGGCAGTAGAGAAGGACTTGGAAAATAAGAAGAGAGAACCAAGAGTCCCCAAGAGCTGCCAGCCTGTCACTTTATTCACTGCTATTAAGAGGAGCAAGTCATTTTGGGTGCAGTCTGGCATCTGCAGGCAAGCGTGGGCTTGCTATCATATGCGCATCAAACCGAACCTGCAAAATCAAGTAGTCAGCCACTGACGTGACAATGTCTGCAACTTAAAAACAGAGAGGCCGGCTTGGAAAGTCCGTCCCTGAAGGCAATTTCTATCACTCTGATGTGTAAGGAATTATGCACAAGCATCACTGGGGCTTATGAGCTGTATAAATAATGCTCTGTGTGCAACGATGGCTTGCTACCGATTGCTTTGAAATGGATAATCACAATTTTCATTTGCATTCATGAGAAAATACTGCTTGTGAGAGATCTGATAGTGCTTTTAAAAAGAAAACATATGTACAAGTGACCAAATCCACTTGCTTTAAATACTGCAGTAGGTGAAGCAGGTTGCAAGGCTGACAGCTTCAGAGTTGCACATTGGCATTTCATAATAAGACCTAACTTCTTTCTAGCTGTTGAGCCCCCTCATGCTCAAGAATGAGAAAAACATCCAGAGAGACAGAATTACTGCCCCACAGTACGTGACTCACTGGGAGACCTTGCCAATGGACCAACTCTTCCGTAGTGGTTACTCTCCAAGAAACACCAGTGATGTAAATGAAGGCAATTCTGCTTGGCATGACTGCGAATCGGAAGAAAACCAGATCCACTTGTAACAGCTGGTCAGAAGGTGGATTTATCCCCGGGTGATGTAAACCAGCATTCGTTAACTGCATTGCTAATCACTGCTCAGGAATGCTTCACTGCAAGCGTTCTCCAGGCACTGTGTGGGACTGCACGGGAAGATTATGGCAGAGGATGAAAAAAGCAGGGGATCTCTGTACTCCTTCTCCAGCAGCCCCCCTCCACACAAATCCAGCTCGGCTGGCCACTGCAGGTGGTTTCCCTCTCAACTTTCTGCAGCCTGACAATGCCAGACCCTGACATTGAGGGGTGCATGATTCCCCTTCATCTCACCCTTCAGAGCTACCCCTGCTTGCCCAGTCTGGTACATAAAGAAAAACCCCTTTGTGCAGAGCTCGGTCACTCTCAAACCACTAATGAATAAACTCTTCTATCACATGCAGCACTGAAAGAACGTGACCAGGACCTGTTTCTTTAGGAGGGGCAGCTTTCAGCTATCACACTGCAGCTTTCTGAAATCTCCTTCCCGGTCCTGCTACCAGCCCATCTGGTGCAAAGGAAGCATTTCCCATTTCTGTAGCAACACCCCTTTTTTTAATGGTGGGACAAGGTGGCTTTCCATTTTTTCTTAAGGCCTGAAGTGTCCCTAAATTCCAAGGATCCAGCTGAAAGTTTTCCTTTGCTGCCATCCCATGCTTCTCTATTACTACAGCTGCGCGGTGAAAGTATGGTGGCAGCTTTTGCCATGTGGACTCTCATACATAGCTACAGGATGGTTAATGGAACTGGAAAATACAATGAAATTCCAATTGCTTTTCAATTGCTGTAGGCCCTTGAAAAAGA